TGTCCCAACAGCTCTGCGATATGCTAATATTTTCTTCAGATGAAAGGAGAGATGTGTTCAGATACCTGCTATAACAGGCAATTAATACCAAGAGCACCAAGGTAGAGCAGATACAAGTGGGATTAGAACACTGCAAATTAACCAAAAGCTTGTATGTTTTAGTAAATGGCCTCATTTTGAGTTTGACACGGCCTTTTTGTTAGGCAAACAGGCTGCATTCGAGTACATTCGTCCATGCTAATGTGGTGTTACAATGTTCAGGTATGTTTATGAAATGGTTGTGATTCTAGCAACTGTTTATCCCTCAAGCCATCATTTTTTTAATTTCTTTTTTAGGAAAATTCGCCTATATTAAGAAAAGGAATCTACCCCTCACTTTTGTGTCTTCTTCATGAGGACATTACAGACCAAGCAAGCAGAATCGTACCTCTAATTATTTACTAATTGCTTCCGAAATGACTAAGGCTGCATCTATCGAACTCCAAGGCACCAGGGTAATCCCATAAACACTTGCGTCAGATTGCTCGGTGTCCGTCCGACAGACACACTAGTCGCGGCTGACTGGGTAGACCAGATGTTCTGACATCATGGCGCCCAGGCTTCAGAGAGCGCCCCTGATCTGGGTGGTGACGGGACACTGCTGCAAACAGCCTGGGGCTTAGGATGTGTTTGTTTGCTTGTTTATGTGTTTAACTGAATAATGCATTCTTGAATCCTAGTCTTCACTGAAGAACAGCAATTTTGGGGGGTGGGAGGGGTGGGGAGAGTCATGACATTTCTAAGCGTACACTGTGCTCTCGTTTGGGTCAGAATAGCTTCCTGTTTCTTGGAATTCCCTGGACATGCTCCCAGTCAGCGTCCGCCCCACCTCGGTGGCAAGATGAGAGTTTCTTCCTTTGTCAGCCTCTCCTTTCGCTTCCAGAGTAAAAAGACCAAAATGCAGTTAGCTGGCAGCACACTGAACCTTTGCTTTAGTCCTCTCTGTCCTGGCAGACCCCTCACCTGGAGACTGTGGCGACCGCCATCTTAGGCCTGGACAAGGCCACGGCTCCAGGATGGAGCCGGGACCCTCGGCACAGGAAGGGGGCACAAGCCACAGAGGAGCTGGGAACAAGTGTGAGGGCAGGATGCCAACGAGAGCAAAGGACAGGAAACTCCCAAATGCCCATGTGAAGTGGACGCTCCCTGGACAAAAAGATGATTCTGGTTGGAGCCCCAAACTCCCCCCATTCCCAGGGCGACGGTAAACAGACTTCTCTCTGCCATGGACTGGGCCCCACTACAGGCGTCACAGAATAATGTGTGCTGGCCGCAAAGGGAGTGGCGGTGCCTTCCCGAAAGCAGCCCTCCGAGCGGCAGGGCAGCCTAGGGGTTCCGGGCAAGGGCTCTGGCGCCAAGCTGTCAAGGCAGCCATTGCAGCCAAGGCCCTTCGTCCAACTGCCGAGCCTCTTCCAGATTCCATCCATCGATGTTGGGGAACGGCACCTGCCACGTGGGGTGCTCCTGGGAATGAAATGATGCAATCCAGAGAGCGCCTAGCACAGCTCCTAGGAAGTGCTCAGCCAGCGCCAACTATGATTATTACTAAAGCTGTCCAAATCCCAATAATGACCTTAGTGTCCGCAGCAGGAAGGCCCAGCCAGCCCAGGGGGCCCTTTCAGTGGGGGCTGACGCAGACGCTGCCGGCTGCCTTCCCCAAATCCACTCACCTCGGCCCTCTCTTCTTTCTCACCAAACCCTCCAGTTTCCCTTTTGTTCAGATATCCACCCTCTGGTGGCCATGGGCTTCAGAGAGGGAGTGCAGCCGCCACGAGGGTGACCAAGGCCACGGCAGTGAGTGGGTTGGGTGTGGAACTTGACTGTGGGTCTGAGTCATGGGGAGAAGGTTCCCCATGTTTATAGTCCTATTGGAAGAAATGACACACTGGAGAAAACCTGACATCGCAGTATCCGCAGGTCAAGCCTGGGTGGCAACCGCCTGGTGACCACGAGCCGTGGCTCAGCTGCCCCTGGGCCTGCGTGCCTTCCTGACCTCGTCTTGGAGGAGATGCGAAGTCTCCTATTGTCTCCCCAGTCCAGTTGGGTTTCGTTTCTCACAGGGTGGAACAGCCAAACTCCTCGGTGCTGAGGGGGTGGCACCTGCTGGCAGGTGAAGCCAAGCACAGGAAAGGCTTCCTGAGTGCCTGACAAGGAGAGCCAGCCTCACTGGTGGGGATGGGGCCGGCATTTATTGAGCACCTATTGTATGCTGAGGGCCTCACATTATTCTCCTCCTTCTTCTAACTACCCTGACAAGTCGGTTTTGTTGTGTCCACTTTGGAGATAAGGAATCTCAGCATGGTGCGAGAGAGACCTGCCCAAGGCCCCCCGCAAGAAGCCAGAGGCTGGCTTTCAGGCCAGCGGGGCTGATTCCCACCAAATCCCTCTGCCTCCTAGGAGACCATGACAGCAAAGAACTCGAAGGCCAGAGCACTCAATGACCAGTCAAGGGAATGCCCAGTCCAAGGACAGAACAGGAGCCAAAGGAAAGCACAAATGTGACCAAACGAAAAGCAGAGGTCATGAGAGTGACGCCAGGAGGCGTGTGCAGGCCCTGAGTGCCAGTTAAACCAGGAACCAGGACCAGCGGGACCCTGAAGATGATGCCAGGCCCACCTGGGCCTACAGAGCTTCCTCCTCCCCCGACACAGGGCCCCGTGGGCTCAGACAGCAGCCCTTTCCTGTGAAGCCAGGATTCCAATCACCGCAAGACGGAGAGACGGGGCCTGGAGATCACCCAATCTTCCCCCTGACGGATAGAGACACCAAGACTCCGGGAGCTGGAGGGTCTGACTGGGTAATGAGCGCGAACACGAACATATGTTGGAGGGTCTACGTGCACGTGAAGAAGGGGGAGGCTGAGAAACCCGCCATCAGACCCAGCTCACTGCAGAAGGAAACAATGAGGAAAAACAAGCACTGGGCTTTGGTCAGTTTGGGGTGCCAACTGCTAATTATTTGTTGGTTTATCAGTGCTAGAATGCACGTATATTTAGCTAAGTCTGGTTCCCTAAATTCAGAGACATTTGCCTGCATTCTTGGCTCCAGTGAGACATGCTTCTATTTAAAACAAAACACTTAGCATTCGTTCATCCCCAAACGGTAGCGGTCACCCAGCAATGACAGCCCATGTCTGAAAGGCACCTTCCGAGGATAACTCCTCAGAACTCCTCTCCGTCTCCACCTTCGTGAGTGGACCAGCTGCAGGGGCAGAGACAAGTGGAAATGTGCTCCGGCACAGAGCACACACAGGAGGGCGAGTGGCTTCTTCTGTGTGTTTGGGGTGGGTGGGAAGGGAGGGGTTCATGTGACGGGTCCGTACCTGCGCTTCAAAGGAAGCTGCAGAACCAATCATAATCCTAACAGCCGGCTCTGTCCAGGCCTTCCAGCTGCTTTAGAATGGATATTTTTAAGCCACATGCCAGCACTTCAAGGTGGGTATTATTTCCCCACTAACAGATGAAGAAACCCAGGATGAAGGACTTGCCCAGGGCCACCCTATGCAGCTGGTAAATGGCGGAACCCCAAGGCAGAAACTGGGTCCCCAGGTCAGTCTTGGCCCACCCCACCAGCCTGCCCGGGGCGGCGGGCGTAGGTAGAATGTGGGACGCAGTGCGTGCTGGCCAGAATGCGTGACAGAGATCCCCGGAGCTGCCCTGGGACGGAGGGCTAGCTCAGTCCCATGCTCCTCAGCCTTTTACTGTCACCTTTCTGTTCTCATCAGTTCTGTGAAAGCTGCATTGGTTTAAACTAACTCTTAATCAGTACTGATAGGATAGAAGGGAGGGGGCTGGGATCCAAAAGGGCTGAGATGAAAGGATGGTTAGTGGTAGAGCTCCTGTTCACCTTTCCTCACTGAAGCCTTATTCTCAGTCCTAACTTATGCCCACACGCCCCACACTAACCATAATGTTGCATTACCAATGCATAGAGGTCTATGTTGATATGATGATTGTCGTAAACAGTTGACTTTCCCAGGTGAATGTCATGATTAACACTTTGTGAAGAGACAAAGTAAACACCTATACCATCAATAATATCAATCATATTACATATGTCTTACAGAATAAAAACGGCCCATAATAGAAGAAGCAAATAATTATACCAGGTTCCCACTAATATAAACTATAGTGAAACTAGATTTTTAGGAGCCCATAATGCTAAAACATTTTCACACTAAGATGAATGCTCTGCTGCTCGTGGCATCAGCCAGGAAAATTCAGAGACAGACATTTTGCGAATTTCTGGCTATTTTTGATTTTCAAATGCATTTAAATCTCAGAAGAGTTCAAAAAGGAAAGAAAATGTGTCACATTTCAAATCAACATACTGAATCAAATAAATTAAACTATGATTCTCAAACTGCTCGTGTAACTGACAGGTTCAAATGCATTTTAAAAAGGGGTCTGATTCCAACGCCTCAATGTCATAAACATGTCCTCTCCCTCCTGACTGTGTGCTGTGACGTCCAACCACAACCAGCAAACAGGAACAAAGTGATATGCTCCTTCTCGAAATACCCAGAGCAGCTTTTGAGGCAAAACGACTCAATGCATCAGTGTATATTCCTGAGTTTGCTGGTTATTTTTACCATGCTTCGCTCACCAGCATTTACTGTTGAAAAGCAGTCGTTTTCTCTTTCTGAAGAAGGCCTTGCTTCAGTCTTAGACAAAAACAGAAAGGGCAGCTCTACTAATAATGATCTGAAGTTAATACAAAAGTACTTAATATTCCAGGATTTCTGCTGGTGTCATTCACCAAAGAGCTGCCTTCCGAGGCAGTCATAGTCCTCAGAATACAGGCTTTCATGTGGGCTTGTTACAAGAGCTATTTAGTCAGAGGACACTGACATGAGAACACAGGTGACAGGGCGTGGCTCATCTGACATCATTTACCTCTGCTAACAGTTACCTCTGACGAAGGGCAGGGCGGGGCGGGATTTTTTAAAAGATCTCTGTTACCTCTTCTCCTACTTGTGTTTCAAGTTCTTTCAATGTCCGACAGCAGTTCATTTCATCTCCACTGCCCCTAAAAACCAAAAATAAAAACTTGGTGTTAAAATGTCTTAACCAAACAAAGGTTTACATAGGACATGCAGCAATCAAAATTAAAAGGATTTCCAAATTACACGTTTTAAAATGCAAGGCATTTCTCATGCACTAGCATCTGCCAGAAGTATGATCTCGGGCCAATTACTTAGTGTCTCCCTGCCTCAGTTTCCTCACCCGCAAAATGAAATGTAGCATTTACTCCTCCTAGGCTGGGGTGAGCTCAGTGAGCACTGACGGTGGCCAATCCTCACAATGACTCTGTGGCTCAGGGGCCATCACCATCCCAGCTTCACACGGGAGACTGAGGAGCCGAAGGTCCCCCGTGGGGGGGGTTCAGACCCAGGCGGTCTGGCTTCAGAGCCCGCCCCAAACCCCCGCTGCTGCCCTTGGTTCTGACCTCTGCGGGCTCCCAGTCCACTTTGAGGTGCCCTCTTAGCCACTCGTGAAGGACTTCACGGTAGATGTGTGTCTATTCCACTCCTTGGCTCTATTGGTTTTTTTCTTATTAACTATTTTTGATTTCGCATTGTCTATATCTATAAACCACTTCAGGGCCCCTCTCTGGAACCAACTGATAGGGCTGGGGTGGTAGTAAGCAGCGGCAGGCAGGCATTTCTGCTCGCCCACGTCACAGTACTCAGCCAGCGCCTCCTACACCCAGGTCTGGGGCCGCGGTGGCACCCAGGACACTGTTCCCAGCCTTGAAAAGGCTTAATACTAGCGACAGTGACAGATGGGAACTAAGCAAACAAGTAACAGAAGTTGAAAGAATCACAGGTGCCATGAAGAAAATGCAGGCAGGCCACGCTAAAGAAGCCGGACTCCACACTAGGGTTAAGGGCAGCCGTGGGAGCGTTTGAAATTAACTTCGCTTTACACAGAAGGAAACTGAGGCTCAGAGGCGTGAAGCGCCACACCCAGGATGAAGACGGAACCTTGGCAGGAATCGAGTCCTACAAGGCCCGTGTACCCTCCATCAGCTGGAGACATGGAGCAGTAACTGTGCATCTGGGGCCCGGCTGGCGCTGCCCCCCATCTCACCCTCCTCCCCAGATGGTCAGCGCTTCCTCGGCTTGTGTCACGTGGCAGCTTGACGGCTCTCTCTGCCCAGCCCCACTGCGGCCCTCTTACCTTCACAGCTTCGCCCCTAATCTACGCCCTGCACCCCAAACTCCATCTCAGGGTCTCATCAGGAGAACCAGTCTACGATCTGATATTAACTTAGTCCGTCTTTCTGTAGTATTTATTGGGATGGTATGTCTTTTTAAGTCCTTTCGCTGTCACTCATTCTATAAACGTATGTTTCAGTTTAGTAAATTTTACTACTTGCTATGCAGTCGTTCTTTGGTTTTAAGTGGAACGTTTATTATAATCACTGACCTATTTACGATTTCTATTTGTCTTGCCCGTTCTGCAGCTTCTTGTCTTCTTGTGGGTCGACCCCATTTGTACCATTCCGCTCGTTTGCCTGTGCAAGTTTGGGAGTTAGTCACTCCATTTTTAATCGTGTTAATAGTTGCTGTGGAAATTATAACCTGCGTCCCTTTCAAAGTCTAAGCTAATCAAAACTTTTATCTTCCTACTGGACAAGCTAACAACTCTAGAACATTTAATTCCAGTCCGTCCTCTCAATTTTAACATTACCACTGTCGTGCATTTTACTTCTATTTTTAAATTCCCAGAGTCGTCATTATTTCCTGTAGTCATCAGTGTTCCCTACGGTTGGTTGATATTTAGATTTAACTACGCACCCGCTGCCATCTTTGCTCTTCTCGCACCATCTCAAACCTTCCATCTGGGGTCATTTCCTTCTACCTGAACTATAACCTTAGAATTGCTTTACTGGGTCTGTTGGGGGCCAAATCCACTTGTGTTGGAGAATGTCTTTATTTTAATATGGAAAATACTGAAAGATTTTTTTGTTAGATACACAATTCTAGGACGGCAGTGATTTTTTTCTTTCAATGCATCATAGTTATTAATCCACTCTTTTCTCCTGGCTTCCATTGTCGCTTGTCCAGAAGTTGTTTTTGCCTAAACATTACCCTTCGGCTGCTTTTAAGATCTCTTTGTCTTTGGGGTTCTGTCCCCACCCGTTTTTAATCCTGCTTGAGATTTGGCTTCTTGAACCTGCAAGATAGTGCCTTTCATCAGCTCTGGGAAATCCCCAGCCATTGTGTCTTTGGATGGCACCCCCATCCCACGTCTAAATTCCTCTCTTTACAGAATTCCAAGTACATCGTGTATCTCTCTGTGCTGCATTCTGGCTAATATTTTTTCAGACCGATCTTACAGTTCACTTATTTCTTCAGCTGTGCCTGTTTATTAAATTCATCAAGCTCTAAATTGTTATTATGAAATATAGCCCATTTGCAGAAAAGTACATACAACATACATACATCGTCAAATTATAATTAAGACAAATGCCTGTTTATACCAATTACCCAAATCAGGAACTAAAGCCAAACACAAAAGCCCCCATTTGTTCTTTTCCAATTGTCATGTTTCCTCTCCCCCTGGTAGTAACCACCACCCTAGCAATTACGATATCATTCCCTTTTATTTAGTTATAATTTTGCCACCTAGGTATGTAACTCTAAAAAATACAGTTTGACGTGTCTTTTTTTAATGTCATATGAATACTAGCATTCTTCTATTTCTTGCTCCTTCACTCAATATTATGTCTGTGAAATTCACTCAGGTTTCTGACCAGAGGTGTCATTTATTAGTTTTCATTGCTCGTTTTTTTCCATCCGTGCATTCAATAAATACCAGGGGTGCCAAAAAATGTATACAAGTGGACACTTTGGTCAGCGTTGCTCAAGCAGTAGTTCGCCGTAATCAAGTGCCTGGACGCTGATGGTAACCACATTGAGCACCTCTTGTAATTACAGAAGTCAAATGTGACTTGTATTCATCTTTTGTTCGGTATATATTATTACAATTTTAATATAGTTTTCCTGTCTTAAAATGTGTTTTGGCACTCTCTGTATGTATTAAGCACCTACTATGTGCCAAACACTGTCCTAGGGGCTTGGGGTATATCAATAAATAGAACCAACAAAGATCCCTGCCCTCACGGAGCTCACATTCTAGCCCAGGAGTCGGCAAACTGCGGCTCACCAGCCACACGCGGCTCCTCTTTGAGTACGTTCCGTCTCAAAAGTTTGCCGACCCCTGGAAGAGCCAATCCTGTCCCTCACAAAAATTTAAAAATTATTCGAGAGCCATAAATATATTTTTACATGATCACCATTATGTGAATAATATCCTTTAAACATTTTATAAATGAAACTATGATAGTTTCATTTTCAATTTTACTTCAGAGTCACAGTTCACGAGCCGCAGTTTGCTGACCCCTGGTGGCTCTTCCGTCTCAAAAGCTTGCCGACCCCTGTTCTATTGGGTTGTCGGGAAAGTCACAACGCATTTTTGCATCGAAAACCATAGAAAACTATGTCGTGACTTTCCCGACGACCCAATAGATGGAGAAGATCCCACATGAGTATTAAGCTAAAGGTGTAGGAAGAGTGAGCTATAGGGGAGCGCGCTGTGGACAGAGGGACCAGCCTGTCCGAGGCCCGAGGACAGGGACAAGAAGGCCGCGGGTTTGGAGCCCAGGGAAGGAAGCGCACCTGCTGCGGGCAGGACTTCAGATCACAGAGCGCCCTGCACACCCAGCTGGACCACCTGCCTTCTGCCTTTTGGTATCTTTTAGAATTTCCTTTAGTCACAATCTGCAGGAGATGAACTCTCTCAGCCTTTGTCTGAAAATGTCTTTCTTTCACCCTCAATCTTTTATTTTTTTAAATGTTGCTCACTGATTTTATCCTGTCTTTAGTCTTCAGAAATTCAAATAAGCTGTCCAGGTGGAACTGACCTTTCGAGGCACCCAAATTCAAGGAGCCACACGGAAGGCTTTGCTCCTGCGGTACGGCTCCTCTTCTGGGGGGTCTTTAGCTGTGTGCTTCTTTGCAGCAAATGATCCTTTTCCTCCCCACATCCTGCTTCTCTCCACTGAAAGCCTTCTTTCTTCCTTTTCTTCTTTCCCACAGTCTACCTGCTAGAGTCGACGTCACATCTGCTCTGTTCACTAAAGCCCTGAAGGCCAATGCGTGGTCTCCGTGGATGAATTAGCTTCAACATAATTATCAGCTTCTTTAGTGAGCTTTTCTTCAGAACGCTGTGGGGGATCAGCTTGTGTGGGGCTCAGGAAACTTTTCAGAGCTTCTGCTGTTTTGACTGGTTAGTATATAGAAGCTGCAGTTACCCTTCAGGGGGGTCGCTTTGTTCCAAGTGCCATATGGATTATCTAATTGCAGAAGATCCTCGGTCCCCATGCGGAAATGTCCTACATGTCCATCAGAAGCCATTTACTCATTTTAAGTAGAACGATTCCTTGGATGTTTCTGAAGGGTTGATGATGATACTACCATTATTACAGATGATGTGAGATGCAATCATAGTTCCACATTTTGTCCTTATCAGCTTTCATACACTCAGAGGCATGGACTTTTTGATATCATTCCAGGTCTTCAATCAAAAGGTCCTTTTGAATCTTCATCATGCTCCCAACTTAATCAACCACCATAGGACACTCAGGAACGTCCTCGTATAGCGATTTTTAGACAGTTCTGGTAAGGCTGAGGTGGCCAGAGCAGAACAGGTGACAAGCCATTTCTGTGTTATGTTCATAGATTGCTGTCAAGGGCATTGAGTTTTGGCTGATAGAAGATGTGAGCTCTCAAACCATATTTCCAGAAGGGAAGTGCTGTAACCAGAATAATAAGTCCCACCACCACCAATCCAGGAAATTTGAGCTGCAGCTCTGTCACTGTCCTAATATTCAGCCCAAGTCTACTGACCCAGTAATTCAATGACCGCAAAAGCTGCTTGTTATTTTTATATGAGTAGGTATGAAGAAAGCATACAAGATCTAGTAGAAAGGTAACCTCGAACACCATATGCAAAGGTGCCAGATGTTTCTCCCTTTCCCAAATATTCTCTTATTAGTGGATGAGCATATGCTGCTGCAAGAAGAGGAGAGGGTGCCAGGGACTCCCACAGTAAAAGCTCTTATTCTTAAAAATATAGTATAGCATTCTAAGATGGCAAATATTTTAGGTAGGCAAACTGAAGAGATCATTCCACTATCTTATACCTGTCATTGTCACTGTTGAGACATTGGTGTCTAAGTGTCACTCCTCTGAAGTCAATTTAGCTTTCCTTCTCACTGTCTTTGTTATTTTCTTTTCGATTTTGATGTCCTGAAGTTTCACCGTGATATGTCTAGATAAGCATTTCTTTTTATTGTCTGCTTGAGATTCTCAGCCACTATCTTTTCAAATATTGTCTCTGCCTCACTCTTTCTCTTATATGTCTGGAAATCCAATAAGAAGTATATTAGGCCTTTCTTCCCATCTTCTATGTCTCTCATTTCTGTCCTCCATATTTTGTATCTCTCTGTCTTTCTGTGCTGCATTCTGGATAATTTCTTCAGATCTATTTTCCACTCCACTAACGCCCTTTTCAGTTGTGTTTACGCCACTATTTTCACCCCCATCCAGTGAATTTTATATCTACAATTATATCTTTCAGTCTCAGAAGTTTTGTTTTTTTACTTCTTCAAATCTGTATTATTATTACCTCTTGTTTTATATTCATATATTGAATCCTTTCTTTCATTTCTTTAAAAATATTAAAATATTACTTTTAGATTCGCAACTGATAGTACCAATATTCTACTAGATGTTGTTTCTATTGGTTTGCAGTCTCCATTGTTTCTGTCTCCACATGTTTTCAAGATTTTGTTTTGTGGTCAGATGTTACTTGGTTCTTTATCTGTGGAAATTCTTTAAGGGCTTGGTTGAAGATTTATTCCTTACAGAAGGACATACCCAGTCCAGGACCAGTTTTAAGTAAATTCCTAGCCTGAGACTTTGCAAACCACACAAGTAGTATTATTTCAGGCATAGACTGGCATGTAAATAAACTTGTAATTACAACTGTTTCCTCTAGTCACCCAATGCTAGTGCTAAAACAGGTGGGTTTCCTTGCTGTGCCCTCTGTGACGCAGGTTTATACTTGTAATTTATCCTAACCGAGGGCGTAGATGTCCCAGCTTTGTATGTCTTGGGCTTCTATTAGGTTCCTCCACCCTGAGCAGACCCTCTCAGCTTTGTCTCTTGTCCCCTTCACGCCAAATAGCCAACAAAACTGACACACAAATTCACCAGGATTTGGTCAATGCCCTCAAGGCAATAGTTGACTTTTCAGAATGCTCACTTCTCTGGATTCCAATTTTCACTTCATGTTTGGCCTCTGGGGATTACTTACTTTCTTACCAGTTCAGTAATGTATTAAAATGTCTTATCTTTTAGCCAGCGTTTTAGTTGTTTTCAGTGGAAGTGCTATTCATGGATATATTCTATCATATTACTAGAAAGAGAAGTCTCCAATCACTATCATGCTTCATCTTCAACAATAAAGAGACTGCAGCTTCAAATTTAGTATAAATATATAGCCTTTTATATTTAAGGAAGTCACTTATGATCCTTTTCATCTCAAATTATTAAACTGATGTTTCACAATTTAAAAAACAATACAAAAAAAAGAACTCTCCTACTTTCGGTTTTTCCAGTTGTTTAGGTTTTTTTAACAAAGAATATTCAAATTAGGCTGCTGTCCACCCAAAAACCCGATCCCCCAAATGGGGATGTTTTTAGGTCAAGAACATTATGCAGTCTATAAAACAAGTCATTCTTTTCAATGAGCCTGGAAATTATTTTAGTCCACCACTTCCTAAGCATTAACTAAACAGAGCACAGCAAAGTCCCAGATCATGGAGGGGATAGTACTTTGTCAGTCTTGTTGGAACTGCTACACTAATTTTTTTTTAACTGTGGTAAACAAACAAAACAAACCACATAACATAAAATGTACCCTCTTGACCGTTTTTAATGTACAGTTCAGCAATATTAAGTATATTCACATTGTTGTGCAACAGAACTCAAGAATTTTCTCATCTTACAAAACTGAAACTATATCTATATCCATTGAATAGCAGCTCCCCGTTTCCCCTTCTCCTGCCTCACTAATTCTTACACCTAAGCTGCATCCACGATCGATTTAATCATGAAAGCTTTAATACTAAAATTTGCTAATATTTCAGGACCAAATTTAATTATTATAATTGTTTACATAATTCCTGAAAAAATGAGGCTTATTCATTTAGAGTAGATAATCTGAGTGAATAATTTTTTTACTGAAACAACATTTCCTAAATTATACACTAGAATGAAAAAACTTTCCAGCTGATAGAATTAAAGTTCATGCTTTAACACTCTCATTTTGCAGATAAAGCAAATGAGCCCTATGATTATGCTAAAGCTATGAAATACAAAAGAGCTCATACAAAGACCTTTTTAAAAATATTTAATTTCTAGCTACCAAAATATCATCACTTTCCTATGAAAGACATTTAAAATGTGTAAAAATGAACAAATTTCATTTTAGCATCTTAGTATTTTTACGTCAAGATTAAAATTCATTATTTCCAAATCTGAAATACACTGCATATAAAATCTGATTTTAATTTGCTGTTTCCATTTTTAATACAGTATTATTTCTCTTATTCTGAGCTATATCCTGTATAGATGTTAGAATCTTCACTAAATAACTTTTGACTGAGGATTAACTTTATTAAATTGTACAGGGACAAGCTCTACGAACACATCTTCCATTTATAGTGTTGACATGGTTAGCTCCGATGGCCTTATGCCCTGTCTCTTATTTCACATTTCACACTTGCATATATGAAAAAAAAACCCCACTTACCTCTCTATAACATTTATATTTAGGTCAATTCCACCAAATCTGGACAGGAATTCAAGGTACGGGACGGCACCAGAGCTGGTGAGAGGGATCTACATTCAAACAAGAGGAATGATAGCCTGTTAGAGATTCAGGTCCAAGCAGCGGGCAGCACGGTCGGTGGCGTGATGTAAGGCAGGATACGAGCAGTGAGCTGGGCGTTCTATTAAGCACAACTGCTGCATCCAGGGGTCTGAGTCGATGCATCCTCAGCAAACCAGGTACAAACAGCACGAAGACCATCTACTGTGTTTCGCCGAAAATAAGACCTGGCCAGAGAAGAAGCCATAGCATGATTCCTCCAGGATACGGAGGGCACGCACCCCTCACATGACTGTTTTCTGACCTGTTTCAGGGAGAAGGGTGCCTTTTCCACAAACTGCTTCAGCTTAAAATATTCAGTATGCCAAGGTGCCATATTTTGGCACCTAAAATCATGCGAGGGCTTACTTTCCAGCTAGGTCTTATTTTCGGGGAAACAGGGTATGCTCAATTAGGTCAACAAGTTGCCTACAAAATTATCTAAAATCTAAAGCTATCTAAAACATAAAATAAAATTAGTAGAAATATATATATATATATACTATAGAGAGATAGTTCCCAAGAGGCTGAGGCCCAGCACTATTTTATCCTCTTGAGTGTCATGTAAACTTTCTGTACATTCATATACTTTTAAGGTAGAAAAACTCATTTTTAAATTTAAAATTCTATAATGGACATTATAGGGTCAAGTGAGTCAATACAGTCTGTAGATTAAATAAAATTATTTTTTCAACGTTTAATTTAATGAGGTTGATAATTACTGTGATTATATAAAAGAATAGTTCTTATTCTTAGGACATACACATAAGTATTTAGAAGTAAAGAACTATAATATAAGCAACTTCTCTCAAATGGTTCAGAAAAAAATATTACGTGTACATTGTGCATATTGTGTATAGTATTATTTGAATACACACCACAAAAGATCACACGAGAAGGAAAAGAGACTAAATGTTCACAACTAGCGAATCTGGGTAAAGGGTATGAGGGTATTATTTATGCCATACAGCTAACTATTTGTAGTATTCTTAGTCTTACAAATTTTCAGGAGGTTTGAAATTATTTCTAAACAAAAAGTCAGATTTTTTTTAAAAGTGAAAATAATCTCCCCCACAAAGGAGTATGAACTACAATTAAGATAAATATGTAATCAATAGAAGTATATTTTATTTAGCTTTACACAAATATACAAGGACAGCCTCCCACATGGCTGAATGTCTCCCAAGTCCGTACAATCAAGTTTGATATTTGCTAAGCCCTTAAAACCCCAGCCCCAGAGCCCAGCGTGGTTATCTCAGTCATCCCCAAAGCACAAGTTTCTCTTCACTATTTAAAACATATATAAGTAGGAAACGGGACCAGAGGCAGAGTGCGTCCTTTGTGACACCTTTTCTGGAAAGGACAACCATGACTTCTACCTCTGACAGGGCCTTTTTCAGGGGACACAGTTTTGGGTAGACACCGCAAAGTTTCCCTAATCTAAAGAAGGAGGGTGAGAACAGATCAGATGTGTAGTGCCAAGACCGGATGCCCTGATGGTTGTGGCAGTGACAAGCGCGCTGCCAAAATGAAGCGGGAAAGACACACTGGCAGACCTCATGGTCCAGAAATGGGCACAGGCACCACTCTTGGTGTTTTACGTGAGTTAACCAGCCCGAAAACCACCTTCTGAGGGTGTTGAGACTTCCCACATTTCACGGGGCAGAAGTGTCACCTCCCTGCAGAACACTGTCATTAAGTGCCAGACATCTCTGTGACTCCAGAGCCCATTCATCTCACCACACTAGCCACCCTGCATGTAAAAAAAGAAAATTCATCAACCTAGTGAAGATTTGGTCACATTTCATATTGTTATTTATGGACCAATGCAAATTGTACATAGCAGATACATTTTTCCAATGACCAGTCTCCAAAGCTAAGCCCCTTAAACAGCCAATGAAGCTAGCCCAAAAGCAGGGGCTCTGCTAAAATCTTGCCTTTTCAATATTTGTGATTCTGGTAAAAATGTTTAAGAATCAAAATCATCCATAGATTAGTCGCTGAAAGCAACTCCTTAGACTGGGGCTGGGGGACGGTAATGTTTAAATCAACAACCATCATGTTGATAAGCATCTTCAAAGACTTCTCTTTCCTCACCTGCCACAACCACTGAGACCAGACAGAACTTCGCTTTCCTTCTCTGGAATCTATTTACCGATTCAACTTCTTTAAAAATTTATATATTGATATTCAGAGATTGAGGCCACATTTTTTAAAAATTCGCATTACCATTAGTGAAAACTAAGGTACAGGCCCTGAGCAATCATCAAAATACTCTCACATTCAAACATCTTGACATGGTCCTTGAAATAAAATTAAAGCTAAAGTAAATTCACTCTTGCTGGAGAATTCTTTTCTAATTTTAAGGGGGCAATTCTTATGAAATGTTTTACCAGTTTTATACACTTCCAGTCAGGCCTATATTAACTATTGGGAAAGAAAGTTTGCATCACCACACGGATTAGTCATTAAAAGATTTAGAAAGACTCACACACGAGAAGCCCTGCCCCTTATTCGCAATGAACTTGGCCTCCTTTTCACTGCGCTGCACTCCAGCCTCCTTGATTTACACACGGATTGCAGGCGCTCGAGGTCCCGGGAAAACATGCCTGTCATTTAAGGTAGACGACCAGGGCCTGTTTTTTTAAAAATCTTTAAAGTTCTCAGTTCTCGATGACTTCTTTTAAAAACAGATGTAGCTTTTAAAAACGATACACATTTAACATTTTCTGTACTTTTCCTCTTCCTGCATAGCTGATAAACTTGGGAAGATTGTCAAAATTTCAAATTAACATTAGATCATGAATATAGGGAGACATTAGTAGGAAATAATATTTTAACTCTCCAGGTGGCATAAAGTATCAGTTAAACCAAGCTTATGAGAAAACTGAGGCACTGTTTGTAAGGACAAATGTTCTTTAAAAGCAAAAGAACATTACCATATGACACAGCAATTCTACTCCTAGGTATGTACCCAAGAGAACGGAAAACATATGCCCACATAAAAACCTGTACAAGAATTTTTATAACAGCATGGCTCACAAAAGCCAAAAAGTGGAAACACCCCAAAAGTCCATCAACTGATGGTAAACAAACGGTGGCAATGGAATTTTCTTCCACCATAAAAAAGAACAAATTACTGACTCATGCGACAACATGGATGAACCTTGAAAGCACTGTGCTAAGTGAAGGAAGCCAGACACAAAGTATCATATATTGTATTATTCCGTTTATGTCCAGAAACGTCCAGAATAAGCAAACCTATTGTGACAGCATGTATTGTAGATGAATGGTGTCAGGAAGTAGGGGGAAGGGAGGGAGATGAGGAGCGACTGCTAATGAACAGGGAGTTTCTTTCTGGACTGATGAAAATGCTCAGGAATTAGATAGTGGTGATGGTTGCACTACTCTGTGAATATATTAAAAATCACTAACTTGCACATTTTTAAATGGTGAATTTCATGATGTGCAAATTATATCTCAATAAAGCTTTCATTGAAAATGTAGATACAATAAAGAGTGACATATGGGACCAGCTGAGTGGCTCAGTTGGTTAAGAGCGTGAGCTCAGAGCAACAGGATTGCCGGTTCGATTTCCACATGGGCCAGTGAGCTGCATCTGAGCTGAGCTGCCAACAGGTGGCAGGATGGCTCAGCTGGTGAGAGCACATGCTCCTGACAACAAAGTTGCCGGTTCGACTGCCACATGGGATGGTGGGCTACGCCCGCCTGCAACTAAGATTGAACACGGCACCTTGAGATGAGCGGCTGTTAGCTCCTGCAGGCAGCCAGATGGTGACTGGACTTGGAGCTGAGTGAGCTGCGCCCTCCACAACTAAGACTGAAGGACAACAACTTGGCTGTTCCCCTTCCCCAACTCCCCAATAAAAAAAAAAATCTTAAAAAAAAACAAAATTAAAAGAAAAGGACTTTAATGGTGCTACGTGCAAAATATGACCCAAGAACATAGCAATCATCCCAAACCTGCCAGGGTGTAATTAAGTGGACTGTGAGAACGAAAACCTTAACTGCTCACTTGGGACAATGAGGGAAAAGTCAGAGCTGCACGCCCCGGTCACCCACTTCCTCTTTTCCCTGGTCGGGTTACTGGAGGTCGCTATACAGGCCGTACCTGGGCCAGGACATCATGGAACTGTTCTCCCGTGAGCGGCAGTAGGAAAGTGTTGACAACTCTTCTCAGCTCACCCCTGGACACCGTCAGGCTGTGACTGGTATCGAGCAGCTGAAAGGCTTTTCTCAAGTCATCTCTTTTCTCGGTAATTCTTTGAAATAAAATCCATTTGACATCGAAGAAGGACAGTATTGGATTTGCAAATGCTGTGGCTGTACAAGAGAAACAGCTACTTATTAAACGTGCTGAAAGCTCAGACACTAAAACCATTTCACTGGGTGCCAGGGCCAAACAAACTTCTAAAACAGTGGGTCTCCTGCATCTGGGTTTACACACCCCGTCATCAGGTGACTTGCGATGGCAAATCTGCAGCCATTTTTTTCCCCTCTGAAATGTGATTGATACAAACTGACGGTAATAACGTTAGAAAGAAAAAACAAGGCAAAGATAATCTTCCCTATAAAAGACATATGTCACTCCAAGTGAAAAAGAGGGATATTGGAATAAAAGTTTGTTAAGAATCAATATCATTTCAAATCAATCTTTAAAATATTATATTCACTTTGCAACCTCTTGCCAATTTTTGAGGAAAAAACACATGATTCTTAAATCTAGATCATTTCCCTTTCAAAGACAAGGAAAAAATGAGAATAGGAGATAGACAGTACAAGGTAATGGGAAACGTTTGGAGTGCGCTGAGCTCTCCTGGGAGGAAAAGGAGTGGGTCCCGGCTGCAGTGCATTAGGTCCCAGGGTCCCCGTGTCACCGAAGGTGAGCTAATACAGCGCAGGCCGCCCTCCCTTCTACCTAAGATGAAAACTGCTAGAGATAAGTAGCTGCAGCAGCTACAAATCAACTGACAGTGCCAATCAGTACCATGAGCAGGAAGATGCGCTTATTGTATTTTGATATTTTATAACCTACTGGGGAAAGAGGAGGCTAAGAATAATGGTTGTTTGGTAAATCTCTCGTGTTTATTTACGACATTGCAAAGGTTTGGTGACCATAGTTTATTGAGCAGCTCTGTCTTTGACTGTAAATTCTGGATGTGTGTGAAATGTCTCTCGCGCGACCTCCTCTTTTGTAAACTTAGTCACACGCAGGAGCTGGGAAGGATGACTGGCTGTTTTCCTCACATGAGAGTTTCTTATCACGCTGCTGAACCTTCCCGGCCTGAGGACAGCAGTGGCTTTGGCCTTGGGGTGACCTGGGCCAGATGACAGACTCAAAGAAGGCTCTCTGGGCACCACCCTGGTCCCCCCCTTCCCCCTCCAGAGGGCCCTGAAGGATTTCCTCATGGCTGTAAGCTGCCCTGAGCTGTCCTCTGTTTGAAGTGGTAAAACAGGGGCCCCTCAGCGCCCCCACAGTCAGTCACATGGCCGTGGCCATCTGCCGCGTGCCCAACCCTCCCAAGCAGCAGCAGGGCAGGGCCTGGGGGCCACGTCCCTCCTTCCCAGGGCTGCGCGGGCCGTCAGCGGTGCCCCGCTCCCCGGCTCACTCTCTAAGGGCCGAGTATACGAAGGCCTGTGACGGGGGCTGGGGATGCCTCTCACTCACGATGCCCAGGCCGGTTGGAGGGGGAGCAGTAGGTAACCAGGTCCACTGGAGATCTGGAACAGGAGGTGCCTGGGGTGGGGTAACAGCATGGAAGGTCTCAGAAAAAGCTTCTTAGAGGAAAGAGGTGACACAGCAACTGCAGCGTGGTGTTCCCGAGAGCAAGAGGGGCTGGCAGAGCGGGGCGCTGTGGAGGCCAGCCAGCCCAGGCCGAGGGAGTACGACAGGACAGGCAGAGCAGGCGTCTGCCGGGAGAGGGGCCTGCAGGGGTAGCAGCCGCCAGCATGGGCAGTCCGGCCCCTGGGCTTTGTGCTCTGGTGACGGGCTGCCACAGTGGGCTTCACATCGAGACAACGACACAGCCCAGGTTGCATCCTCAAACTGCACCCTGGTGCCATGTGGGGGAGGAGAGTGGTGGCATGAGACCTGTTGGGCAATTACAGCCGTGCAGGCAAGTGTTAAAGGAGGCGCCACTAATGCAATGGGCATGGGGTGAAAAGTAGGGGTGAGTCAGAGATGTGAGAACGGACAAGGGCGCGTCTATGGAATCTTCTGATTTGATGTGCAGGGTGGGGAGGGGAAGGGGGTACAGTTTTGTATCTAGCACAGGTGGCTTGGGGGAGGTGACACCCTCCACTGAGAAAGAGAATATTAGAAGACGTGACAGGTGGTATTTTCCAAGATGACCACAAGAAGCCCCTACGTGCTTTTCTTGCAATGCCACGTGACTGCTCCTCCCAGCTAAAGGTGGGGCGTGTGTTCCTTCCCCTTAAATCTGGGTGGGCCTGTGACTAGGGCAGAATTGACACCCTATGATTTCCAAGACGAGGTCACAAAACGCATTACAAGCTTCTGCCTGCTCCTCTGAAGATGCCCACACAGTTGCCGGGCTGGAGAATGTCAAGAAGCCACATGGAGAGACCAGGTGTAGGTGTTCAGGCCGGACGCACCCCTGGGAGAGGGCAGACAGGGGGAAGAGGGTTAGGCAGAGGGCCTGAGGGAGGAGAAGGGGCTCGAGTCTCCCAAGAGACTTCCAAGGACCTCGGCAATGCAGGACTCGCTCTGCGCGTCCCTCTCTGATCCTGACCGTCACTTGAAGTCTCAGAAGCGGCTGCTTCTGGTCACCTGGAGGGGCTCCAGGAGTCAGTTATCATCTGTAAACACTCTCTATCCCTCTCCCCACCCAGCCTGGAAACCCTCTTTCTGCTCCCAGTGTCACCGAGGGACCCCTCTTGAATGTATGTCTCTGTCTTGAAATCTTTTCTGAGACTTTTCATGTACATTTGAGTTACTTTCCAAGAAGCCCCATCTTCACAATCGATAATCCTAATTTAAAAGTACTGGAAAATACTAACTTGAAACTATTTAGAATTCCTTGACGGAAAACCTTTTATTTCACGTGCCCTCTGCAACTTATGAGATTTAAAACGAAAGCAGTAACCAAATTTTACATAACCTGCTAGTGGGAGTAGAAATTGATATCATCTTTCTGGAGGGCAATTTGACAAAATTTTCTACATCCATCTAGGATATAGAAAGTCACAACAGACTGTCACTCTCACCCGAACAATGAGGAGGAAAAAAATGAGATAAGCTTCAACAGATGGGTTTAAAACCCCATCAGAGAGCTGAGGATGCAATGAAATTAAATTCCGGAAAGGACCAGCCGCTCCTCAGAGACGAAAGACCCACGACCCCTTTCCTGTTTGCAGGGCCACAGGCAGAGGGGAGGGCGAATCCACTCGGGACAGAAGTGAGGAGAAAACCACCAACCGCTAGGAGGCGCACGAGGGCTGGCGCGATGGATTCACGTGCTGGGAGCCCTGGTCACGGAGCGAGTCTGCAGCCGCCCTCTGATGCCCTCGCTCGCGTGCAGAAATAGCACCTGAAAGCTGGGGGTGTCGCACAGAGCTGCGATACGCCCGAAGCACGCAGCGTGGGGCTGCGTCTCACCGACGGCCGAGCACAGAGAGGAAGAACTGAGGCACTGACGCCAGTGGGGCCTTCACTGAGGGCACCTCAGCGGCCCACCACGGACGGGAGGCGGGGGGCAGCGCAGACAGAGTTAGGGGCCGGGCTGGAGGAAAAGAACTCCCCCAGAACCCCTCCAACACGGGCAGGGGCGGGTGTAAAGCAGAGAGCTCCCCAGCAGGCCAAGCTGGCAGCGGGTCTATGGAACAGAGATCCCTGGAGTCTCACCATCTGTTGAAAGGAGGCCTTTGAAACCAGCGGTCCCCTAGTGCAAACTGAAACTGCAACCAACTCCAGACACAGCTCCCCTCAGAGATTAAACTGAGCCGGCCCATCTCACCAGACGGTTCTGGGTAGGAGAAGGGGCATCCCTTTTGTTGGTGGTGACTATTAGCTCCTCTGTCTCGACTGTTTTTCACACAGATGTCTGGTCTTAAATCTTTTAAAGATTGCAAGACAAGTGAAATAAGAAAAGGCGATCTAACCAAGAGCATCAACAGTCATTAGAAGACCCACAGCGAGAACAGATGTAGAAATGGTATGTGAACTAAGAATGATAAATATGTTAAAGAGATGACAAGAAAAAGTGACAACATGCTGAACATATGGGGGATTTCAACAGAGAAACGGAAACTACTTTTTAAAAGCACATGAACAAGTTAGACACTAGACAAACAATGTCAGAAGTAAAGCGCTCATTTGATTTGCTTAATAGCAGACTATATATACAGGGCAGAAGAAAGAGCTACTGAATATAAAATCAGGTCAATAGAAATGATTCAAATTGAAACAAACAAAAGCAAAAATCATTTTAAAAGGAAACAAAGTGTCTAATATCTGTGGCTGTGGCTCACAGGTCCACGTTCACCACGGGAACGTGCTTATTTAATGTATGAGTTATACAAGTACATATCTATCTATCTATCTATCTATCTATCTATCTATCTATCTATCTATATATATATATATATATATATATATATGCATGCAAGAGAGGCCAGCCAAACAATTAATGGTGACCACCTTTGGAGAGGAAAATGGTGCTAGGAGACACCATATGTACATATATAACTTTTTAATTTAAGAAAAAAATTATTTGGCACATTAAAAAGTACCATAAATAAAAATAAAAAGCAAATGACAAATGAAAAACGACACTGATGACACATAAGGCAGATATAAAGCATTAACGTCTTTAAAACAAAGAGAGTTCGTACAAATCACTAAGAAGACTCACAGTAAGTAAATGGGCAAAGGATATGAAAAGGCAGCTTACAAAAAAAATAAACCTGATCAACTTGAGAATCAAAGTTAACGTTACTATGAAAGAAATGCAAATGAAAATCACGATAGAATGTTGCTTTGGGATTTCAAATAGACAAGCTGTAAAGGATGATATTCTGTGCCAGGAAGCTTAGAAATAAGCACCCTTAGATATTACCTGTGGGCTGTACAGGTACAATCTTCCCAAAGGGTATCGCCAAGAGCCTTAGGAGCATGAGTGCCCTCGAATCCTGCAGGCCCGCTTCACTTGTCCTCTCTGCACTATCAGAACATTAGATAGAGCAAGAAACATCCCAAGGATGTCACAGAAGTGGAACTACTGGGCTGGAACAGATTTGTTACTGATGATAAATGTTTGCGTTGGAAATCGCTAGTTAACCCCCCGACCCACCCTCCCCGTTCCCTTGGAAACAGAAACCCTGAGATCTGGGTAGATATGTGGCCATCTGAAACAATGTCTGCATTTCTCCGGCTCCCTAGCGGGTGCATATGATGACCACATGATTAAAGTCTCACCCACTGTAAGCAAGCACGGGTGCCGAGTGTGACTTCTGGCTAGAACGCCTGTCCGTCACTCACAAGGCAACAGCCAACGTCCCCTTTCATTACGTCCCCTCTGCGTCCTTCCGGCTCATGGGGGTGTGCGCTCCCACTGCTTTGTCCCTGCTTCTGTTATGGCATCTGTCCCTGTCTGCTGGGATTCTTCGTCTCCCTCTCTAGATGCGGAGCTCCCCGAGGGCAGGCCCTTCTACGGCACCCAGCTCTTTATCCTCAGTGCCTGTGACCGTTCTTGTCACATATTAGGTCTCATAAAAGGTCTGGGAAGGAAGGAAGGAGGATGGAAGGAGAGAGGGAGGGAGGGAGGGAGGGAGGAGAAGAGAGGAGGGAGGGGAAACTGAGTGCGTGACCCAAAGGAGTTGAAAACTTATGTCCACACAAAATCCTGTATGCAAATACAGCAGCTTCATTCATAATTGCCAAGGTGTGAGAGCAACCAAGATGGCCTTCAGTAGTGGACAGATGAATAAACTGTGGCGGACCCATACAAGAGAGCATTATTTAGAGATAAAAAGAAATGAACTACCACACCATGAAAAGACACGAAGGAGCCTTAGGTGCATATATTGCTGAGTGAAAGAAGCCAATCTGAACAGGCTGCAAACTGTATGATTCCAACTGCACGGCATTTTGGAAAAGGCAAAACTCTGGAGAGAGTAAAAAGATCAGTGGTGGCCAGGGGTTGGGGAGGGATGAACAGGCAGAGCTCAGGAGGTTTTTAGGGCAGTGAAACTATTGTGTATGATGTTGTAAGGGTGGACATATGTATTTATACATTTATCAAAACCCAAGAATGTGGGCCGGCCGAGTGGTTCAGTTGGTTAAGAGCGCGAGCTCTGAGCAACAGGGTCGCTGGTTCGATTCCCACATGGGCCAGTGAGCTGTGCCCAAGCTGAGCTGCTGCTGAGCTGGTGAGAACGCGTGCTCTCAGCAGCAAGGTTGCCAGTTCGACCCACACCCCCCACCTCACCCCCACGACTAGACTGAAAGTGGCGACTGGACTCGGAGCTGAACTTGCGCCCTCCACAACTAAGATTGAAGGACAAAAACTTGAATTGGAGCTGATGGGTCCTGGAAAAACACAATGTTCCCCTTCCCCAATTCCCCAACACTGTTCCTCTCCCCAATTCCCCAATAAAAATCTTTAAAAAAAACAACCCCAAGAATGTACAACACAAAGAGTGAACTCTAATATCAACTGTAGACTTCGGTTAACAATAACATTTCAGTAATGTCTCAGCAATCGTAATAAACGCACCTCACTAATCAGGATATTAACCACAGGGGAATCTAGGGGTGAGAAGTAAAGGGGTGCATGGGGACTTTCTTGCACTTTAGCTCAATTTTTCTGTGAACCTAAAACTACTCAAAAAATAAAGTATTAATTCAGAAAAACTGAGGGAGGAAGTATACCAGATAACACCGTAGTTAAGTCCACGAAGTCTGGAATCACACTGGCTGCGTTCAAATTGTGACCCTGCCACTTAAAAGCTATGCAATTTTTGGGCAAGTGGCTTAATCAACCTGTGTTTCAGTTTCCCCACAAATAAAATAGGGATAAAAATAGAACCCACGTCATAGTTTTATTGTGAAGTTTATATGACATTGATGCCTTGATACAGAGTCTGTGGCATACTGAACATATAATACATAAGTGATATCTACTGTTAGTCTTATTTGCTCAGAATACTCACTTGAAGAAGAAGGTCTGAACATGTTTTGGAAAGTATTTCTTGAATAGATTCTACATGGTGAAGAATGGGGTCTTAAATTTGTGAATCTTTGTGTGTGAGGAGACGAAGCAGGACAATCAGGTATAATCGCCATTTTGTACGTTAAATTCCTGTGATATAAAAGAAAACAGGCTATGTTATGTTCAAGCACACATTACAAATGTGGCCGACCTCCTATCTATTCCTTTTCTGAAAGGACAGCCGGAGACGGTTAAACGCTGCTGGTCATGACCTTCTTGCCAGCGTTTCAAAGACTATTCTTACAGTGAACACCAAATTGTGATGGCAGGCACCTTTGTTTTCAGCAGATCCAATAATCTTCAAAAGTGGGAAAATAAAGAAGCTTTTGGATAAGAAAATCCGCCTGCATCTTGATTACCGTGCACTCACTTCTTTGGTGGGCAGTGGGGGTAGAGTCTGGCTTCTCTGAGCTCTCCTGAAGTGCCTCACTGTATATCCAACACACAGTCAGAGACAGAGCTGGGGATAGCACCAAAGATGGCGGAATGATGGGGACAGGGTGAAAAAAGGGAAGGGATTAAAAAGAACACATTGTTAGTTACAAAATAGTCATGGGTGTGTAAAGCAAAGCAGAGGGAATATAGTCGGTAATAGGGTAATAACTATATGTATAGTGCCAGGTGGATACGAGACTAGTCAGGGGGATCACTTCTTAAATTATAGAAATGTCTAACCACTATGCTGTACACCTGAAATTAATGTAAAATATTATTGAATGTCAAAATAAATATATAAATAAAGTGTAAAAAAAAAAAAGATGGTGGAGTGAGGACTTCTGAAATTCCTCTCCTCCATAACAGCATTGAGAACACTGGCAAAAATCGTCACAATCAACTGTTTCAGAACTCGGGAATTTAACCAAAGGTTTGCAGCAATCTAGGGAGCATTTATTAATGAAAGATGGAAACCTTTGTGGCATTTTAACTTTCCCTGTTCCCATCTCCTTCTGCCCCCAAATCTGCCGGAGCCTCGATCATGAGCCTGTGATCACAGTAAAAACCCTAAGAGCCACTCGAAGGAGCAGAGATGGCCGAACTCCTTTAAAACTCCATTACCAGACTGCTCAAGAGTGCGAGCTCTGAGCAACAGCGGTTCAAGTCCCGCCCAAGCTGAGCTGCCGCGGAGCTACCAAAAGATGGCAGGATGGCTCAGCTAAAAACAAACAAACAAACAAAACAACTCCATTACCAGAATATATTCATTATTTGATCTACCTGATGGTTTCCTGAAAGACCCCACTCACCAGGCTGTCTTTATTTGAACTAATTCAGAGCCTGCCCAGGGAGAACAGGCTATCTCGCCAAAAGGCATTTATTAAAAAAGTTAGGGGCAATTGTTGTTTAAAATCTTAGGTGCCTGAGCAGGTAGATAACAGGTGGAGCAAGCAAAAGACTAACTAAAACATTTAAAGGGAAAATCTAGGGAATGAGATGCCCCTAGGGGCTTTGAGAAGCTCTCACATATTCCTGGGAATCTAGATGGCCACTCACATGCGTAGGGCTGTGAGCATGTCCAGGGCTAAGTGCTTGCTCAGGAAAGACTTGAGAATTCCCTAAGCTCCCACTTCTGGCTGACCTTGAGACTCCGGTCAAGGTCATAAGCAGGAAGGAAAGCTAAGGTAGAATTTGTAAACTGCCTGGCTGAGTGTTGAAGGAAAGCTACAACACATACAAAGAGTCCCAAAACAAAGATCAGAAGACTATTGTTTCTGGGTATTTAAGGAAATTTCTGTCCAATCATGAGCTGACCACTGAGCTAACCAATCAGACTTCAGTGGCTGTACATGACAAAAAATACAGACTTTACAAGGTTAGTTTAGAAAAATCACTAAACAACAGAACAATGAAAGACTATGATTTCAAGAATTGCCACATTATTAAAATGTTTAATTTTCAACAAAAGATTTATGAGAGAAAGAAAGTATGACCCATACATACTTTCTTCAGAAACCATGCAAGGAAAGAGTGAAATGAAATATTTAAAGGGTTGAAAGAAAAAAAAGAAACCCACCAACCTAGAATTCTGTATCCAGCAAAACTATCCTTCAAAAGGGTAAAATAAAGACTTTATCAGACAAACAAAAACTGAGGGAATTTGTCACCAGCAGACCTACTTGCAAGAAATCTTGTTAAAATAAATTCTTCAGAAAGAAGGAAAAATCATGTGGGTCAAGAAAGGAAGAGCATTAGAGAAAGAATAAATGAAGATAAAATAAACATATATGCACCTAATAACAGAGCCCCAATATACATGAAGTGAAAACTGATAGAATTGAAAAGACACTCCTTCCTTAACAATAATAGCTGGAGACTTCAAGACCCACTTTTGATAACAGATAGACCAACTCGACAGAAGATCAACAAATAAATAGAAGACCTGAACAATACTATAAACCAACTAGACCTACCAGACACCTAAAGAACACTCTACCTAATAGTAGAATACACATTCCTTTCAAGTGCACATGGAACATTCTCCAGGATAGATTATATGTTAAGAGATAAAACAAGTCTCAATAAATTTAAAAGGACTGAAATTATCAATAATATATGTTCTCCAACCATACTAAAATGAAATTAGAAATCAATAACAGAAAGGAACTCAGTAACTCGCAAATACGTGGAAATTAAACAACATATTCCTAAATAACCAATGGTCAAAGAAAACAAAAACACAAGATAAATTAGCAAACACTTTTAGATAAATGAAAATGCAACCACAACATACCAAAACTTATGGGATGCAGATAAAGCATTGCTTAGATGGACATTTATAGCTCTTAATGCCTACATGAAAAAAAAAGAAAATCTCAATTAATAACCTAACCATCTTCCTTAAAAAAACACCTATAAAAATAAGAGTAAATGAAACCCAAGTAGACTGAAGGAACTAATAAAGATTAGAGCAGAAGTAAATGAAATTGATAATAGGAAACCAACAAAATAAAAAGTTGGTTCTCTGAAAAACATTGGCAAAAACTGACAAATTTTTAGCTAGACTGACCAACAAAAAATGAGAAATACTCAAATTATTTAAATCAGGAATGAAAGACAGGGCATTACTACTGACTTCACAAAAACAAAAGGGATTACAAGGGAATACTAATTGTATGCCAACAAATTAGATAACTTACATGCAATGGAAAAATTCCTAGAAAGACACAAGCTACTGAAACTCACTAAAGAAGGAAAAAAAATCTGAATAGATCTTTAACAAGCAAAGAGGTTGAATTAGTAATCATAAAACTTACTGCAAAAAAGCCCAGGACCAGATGGGTTCACTGGTGAATTGTACCGAACATTTAAAGAAGAAGAATTAAAACCAATTCTTTCAAAAGATAAAAGAGGAGAAAACACTTCCCAAGACATTCTATGAGGTCAGTATTAACCTTATACCAAACCAGACAAAGACATCAGTAGAAAAGAAAGCTAAAGACCAATATTCTTTATGACTACAGGAAAAATCCCCAACAAGATACTAACAAACTGAATCCAGCAACATATAATAAGAATTAAGACAGTGTGACAAAGTGGGATTTATACCAGGAATGCAAGGGTGACTGAACATATAAAAATCAGTCAATGTAACAATAGAATCAAGAAAAAACATATGTCATCTCAATGGATGCAGAAAAAGCATTTCACAAAATCCTACAAACTTTTATGATAAAAACACTCAACAAACCAGGAACAGAAGGAAACTTCCTTGACCTGACAAAGGGCATCAATAAAAAAACCAAGAGCTAACATCATATTTAATGGTAAAACAAAAGATCAGAAACAACATGAAGATGTTTGCTCTCACCAGTTTTATTCAATATTATACTAAAGGGTCTAGCCAGAGCAATTAGGCAAGAAAAATAAATACAAAGTTATCCAGATTGGAGACTAACATGAAAAATTATCTCCATTTGCCAATAACATGATTTTGTATACAGAAAATCCTAAAGAACATGAACACACACACACACACACACACACACACACACACACACACACACAGCTTCAGTAAGGTTGCAGGATACGTGAGCAATATATAAAAATCATTTGAATTTCTATATACCTGCAATGAGTAATCTGAAACTAAAATTAAGAAAACAATTCCATTTGAAATAGGAAGTCGAGTAACCGGCAGCCAAGTGGGGACGGTGGAAGCATCTCAGAATTAAGGCAAGACGATAAAGAATGAAACGGTGGCAAGTGGGAGAGTGGGCAAGACAGAGTGATTGTCAGGGAGTTTCAAGAAGCTTGAAAAGTTAAGAGACAAGAAACTCAAACTTATGAAGAAGTTTAAGAAGGGAAAAAAGTTACTCTAATTCAATTAGCATTTACTGGGGACTTACAGGAGCCAGGAAGCGTGCTTAAGGTTCATGCAAACCTGTCACTTAACCATGCTCATGCCTCATCACGCTTTGCTCTTCCCAATTCTGAGCTGAGGAAACAGTGCCGAGCAGGCAAGCAGTGTGCCCGGGATTACACAGCTCCTAAGCCCAGAGCGGGGTCCAGGAGTGGTGCTCTTCCCGGGTATCCAGTTCGCATGGCTGACAATGGTCAAGGCTTCACTGCTGCTTTCTACAAAATCAATACCCGGCTCCTTGATGGCGGTGAGAAGTCTCTGGCCACAGGGATGGTTAGGAATACTCGTGTCCTGCCTCAGCCCACTCTGCGGGGAGGATCTGCTGCAACCCTACTGCAGTTACTGCTGCTGCAAATAACCGCTTTCTTTATTTTACCCATAAATTCACTTCCTAATAACAATCAGGCATGCCAGGGCTTTGGCCTCGTGCCTTATTACACCACCTGAGGAGTGAGATAATCACCCAGAAATGTACTGCCTGTTGTGCATTTTATTACTTGAATACAAAGCGGTTCAATTCAAGAAACACTTAGTTGAAGACAGCGTAAAAAAAAAAAAATCATATGAAAAGTAATTCCTCCCAATGCTACTGAGTACACTGCAGGGAATAACGCTCTTCCAGCGGGAGGAGGGTCTGGATGACCTGTTGGGTCTTCTCCAGGTATAATTTCTATGATCATAAAAGCTAGTGAGACTTCAATTACAACACGAATATTCCAAACAGCCAAATCTGGGGCCTGTTTGGGTGTTTGACGCAAACATCCGTGGTGTAAGCATTTTCCAAGCAACCACGCTCTCTCTCATGGGTTCATTCTTCAGCAAACACTGCAGCCCACCCATCGGGGAGGGTGGAGGAACAGAGACGTATGAGAAGTATGACCCACCCGACCCTCCAGCAGCTCCCCATCTGACCCAGGATTAAAGAAAATGGCGGCACGTTTTCAAAGAACGGGAAGAAGGTGCCCGTGCGGCATCTCCAACCACACGGACGCAGCCTGTGGATATTCGGGGACACCCGCCTTACTGGAGCGGATGAGCATGCAAATTGAATCATCCAGTCTCAGGGGTCAAAGGAAAGACTGTTCCCAACAGGTGTCATCTCCAGTTCATCTGGAGAGGGAAAGAGCTAATCAATTTGTAGATTCCTCAAGCAGAAATAATGTGGGTTTTTATTGTTATTAATGCCAGTATTTTTTTTAATGTATGTATTTTCCATGTTTAAAAATGAGTGTTAAAAGGCTGTTGAAGCAGACAAATAGCTTTAAAACAGCGGTTCTCAAAATGTGGTCCTGGAACCAGCAACCTCAGCATCACTGGGGAATTTTTCTTAAATGTAAATTCTCAGACCCACCCAGACCAGCCAATCAGAAACTCTGGGGTTGGGGGCCCAGCCATCCGTGTTTTAACAAGCAGAGGCCACTACTGTAGAAAAACCTGAGGCTGATTTATAAGTTCGAGTCCACAGTTTTGAAGGAGGCTCAGGTGTAAAGTTCCCTGAAAATGCTACGTTTAGGTGATTCTACTAGATTCACCTGGAATAACTGAGCACCTACTTCCTGGCCATTGGTTAGTCAGCAACCTGTGACAATCCTGTGAGTTAGATACCATTCTCCATCTTTTCAGAGGCAGAGAAATTAAACCCCAGAGAAGAAAGTCATGAAGCCAAGACCCAAACTCTCCCAGGCTTTTTACCCAATTGGGCCAGGAGCGTGTACATGTGAGTGATTCGTGTGCATTCTCATATAAACACACAGCTACCTATGAAGTTCGCATATATTGATAGAGAAATAAGAAAATCGGTCAACCCTCAAGAATGGATACCTTGCATTTGCAAAATAGTTTAACAATTCTGCAACCTACTCAAAAGAATATGTGAAAAATTAAAAGTAAGTCATCTACATAAATATCTAAATACTAGGCTTCTGGGGTTCATGCCACCAATGCTGGGAGCCCAGTCCTGCCTCCCCTACCCCAGCCTCATATCCCCTTAATATCTCAGAGCTGTCTTGCAATCCTAGTCTTACCTTTGCAAACATAGGAATTAGAAGAACGCAAGTTGATTTACAAATATATTCCAAATGATAGGGTATCGTAAAAAACAATTTCGCCAGCCATCTGAATTCAATTTAGCAGAAACATCCATGTGTGTAGGCTGACTTTTAGGTGGCACTCAGCTTATAACCACGGCCGCCCCAGGGCGTCTGACCACAGCCTTTTCCTCCACCGAGGGTCTCCCCTGCCTCGGGCTCTCCTCAAATCCCAACACTGTTTGTCACTTCCTCCCAAACCTCATTTTCATCAATACCTTCTCTTGCAGCATAAATTTCAAGTCTATACACACACACACACACACACACACACACACACACACACACTCTGAAATCAAACTCAAAATATAACACGAACCTCTCAAAGTTTGTGTGCTTTAATGGGGTAGTAGCTCGCTATGATAAATGATAAACTAGAAGGACTGTCGAAACAAAACGTTTTTAGGACAATGTTGAGAGAAAAACATTTTCTTTCTGGGGTAAACGCTACGAAATAATGATATAAAAATCTATTTGTACATGTGGACAGGGTCTAGAAGAGGTGACAAAAATCGCTGTGTTGAGACGATGGGACACTGGCCTTTCGGATTTTAAATGTTCTCTAAGAAACAGCACTGCACGCTAGCTGTGACATGCCCGCCGGGCAGCACCTGACTGGCTCCTGCCCCCCCCCACCCCCCACAGGCACCAAGCAGCAGCCTGGTTGGACTGTGGAGTATGTACAGGCCTCCCTGACCGCTGTTCTGGGCTTCNCCTTACTCCCATGCTCCCTCTGCCTGGGTCCCACCCCCGCCCCTCACCTGGCTAACTCCCCGCTTCAGCTCCACATGTGACCATCACCTCCTGAGACAGGCCTCCCTGGTCACCCTGCCCACCTCCTCGCTGCAGAGGCTCTCAGCACAGCCCGCCCCTCCCCTGCACTGCACTCACCACAATGGGTTATTACACTTTTATTTGGGAAATTAGCAACTTGATTGTAGGCCCCATGAAATAAAAGTGGTTTTACACTACTGTACACCCAGCCCAAGAGTGCCCAGCAAATAACTGGCGCTCCAAAAATATGTATCAAATGAATGATTTGCACAGCCATCATTCAAACAGCACTCCCCCCCACACACACACACACACATGCACACACGCACACGCATGCATGCGCACACACAGCCTTCCACTCCTGGACCTGGTTTAGGATCAGTGAGAATCCTAACCGTCCAAGGCAGAAGTTTCAGCAGCATCCGCGATTTCTCCCTCTTACCCCCTATACTGAGAACTAGTGAGCAGCATCGGAAAGGGGTCTTAATTCACACCCAAGACCCCTTGGATTGTCCCGTGGCCATCTCCCCTGTTAGACCATTAATGTCATGACAGCAGGGACCACATCCGATTATGGTGGCCCAAAAACATAATGAATGCTGAGTTTAACTGAACTGAGTCTTGTGGTTTTGCAATCATTTTATCAGCTCGAAGGCCTTGCTGCCGCAAGGCTCCTAGAGCAAAAGCTTATATTGTTTGTTTGCAGTGGGCTTTCTCTAGCATGGCCACAAAAGTCTAATTTCAGAAAGTGTCTCAAAACTTCACTCTAACCTTATGAACATTTTCAGACTCACCACCACCCCTAATGTGATGACAGATACGGCAACAGGCAACGGGAAAATAAGTTGTGTCAGAAAAACCGACAACACGTCGGCTGCCACACAGTTGCTCCCATCTCCAAAGCTGTGTGACTGGCGGCCTTCGGAGACGGAAGCACTGCAAACCAGTGGGCTCTCCCAGCCCCTGCAAGCAGGCCAGGAGCCTGCCACACATCCTGTTCCCAGGGCAGCCAGGAGGCTCCAGCAAGCCCTCCAGGCTGGGAAAGGCAAGTCTGCGAGGCTCCCTTTTGGTGAGGAAAAGCTTTGCAGCTGCTGCCACCTACAGCAGGGACTGAGAATGCAGTCACGAGGGACCTGCCTGGCTGAAGACAGGTTCTCCGCTCACCAGGCTGGCTGAGACTGCGTGCTAGCTCTAAGATGCTGAGCACCAAATGAAGGACATCCAGCTTTAAAACGAATAAGCCAACACTTGCTGATGTGATGAATATGTAAGTTCCCAGACAATTTTGGCACAAAACAGCGTTCAGTGTGTGCTGGTGGAGCGAATGACTGACACAACCAGACCGAAGTGGTAACGGAGTCGTTATCAATGTTTAAAGCACCCTCCTTTGGGGCCTTCCAGCCCACACAACACACTAACAGATGTCGTGGAAGTGACACGCTCTTCCGCCCGGCGGGGACACTGCGTTTGGGAAGAAGCGTCTCACCTGGCCTTGGGGCAGCCTGATTTGGCGCCATTGCCATTGGTTTTGGTGCTATTTCGTTTCATTTCCTTCAATATAAACGATTTCTGAATCTGTAAATTCTGAAAAAGAAGAGAGCAATGGGGTTAGCACAGATTGGTAGACAGATTTCTTTTTTTAGCTTATCAAGCCACAAGAACGGAGCCTTGGGCCTAAGAGAAGCACGTGATTTTGCCAGCTACTGAGTTGTGTCAACAACCCCAGTCTGCATGAATTTCCCACTAAATTCTAGGTTTCCCAGGTAGTTTATGTCAACACTATATGAGCACCAGTCCTCTTCCCATCTCGATCACACACACACACACCCCACACACGTGCGCGCACAGCACCATAGACCACCCACACACCGCACGCTCACCCACGCCCTCACTGTGGCCCCTCTATTTTCCTCGCATCAGCCAGAGTCATCATCTGTAAACGCTGTTCTCCTCCTGCTGCTGCCTTGCTTTACAAATTCCAGTTGCTTCCCATTGCTTGGAATAAAGACCAAAGTCCTTCACGGTGTCACAAGGCCATGCGGGACGGGCCCACGCCTCCTCCCCAGGTTCCCTGGGCTTTGACACGCTGACCCCCGGCAGTCCCTCAGGGCAGCTCTGCCCATATGCTGCAGCCCTCTGCCTACACCCCTCGTCCTGCTCTGCACTCTGCCTAATGAATGCCTCCTTGTCCCAAAGATCAGCGGTTCTCAAACTTGAGTGTCCATCAGAATCACCTGCAGGGCTTGTTGGACACCAGCTGCTGGGCCCCAGCTCCTCACCCTGACTCCAGAGCTGGATCCTGGGTGGGGGTGGGGCCGAGAATGTGCCTTGCTGACAAGTTCCCAGGTGGTGCTGATGCTGAGAGCCACTGTCACAGGTCTCAGTTCACATGTCACATCCTCAGGGAGCCTTCCTCGACACCCCCACACTAGATAGACCCCATTACAGACTTCCATAAGGCCCTCTGTTGACCCTTATAGCCCTCAGCCCAGTTTGTAACAACGTATCTATGTGTATGCGTGCTCAGCTAGTGCTGTCCCCTGCATTCCCAGACCCTAGGCCACCGACTGCATTCAGAGACGTTCAAGCGCACTGAATGAGTTTGCTGTCTGTCACTCCTGAACCTTGTAAATTAAGGTAGAAATCCCTGCCTTTGACCTCCACCCCTCTTACTACGCAGTCAGCAGGTGCTGTCAATTTCGCTTGGAGACTACCTCTTAAAACTATTCCTTCTCCTCTCTATCCTTAATGTCACTGCCCCTGTTCATCCTCACGGGTCTGGATTAAGAAACAGCCCATTAAAT